CTGGCACATAGTAAGTGCTCAGTAAAGGTTTACCACTATTATTATTATTACTACTACTACTACTACTACTACTACTACTACTACTACTACTAGAGGCCCAGCGCACAATTAAATTGTGCACGTGTAGGGTCCCCTAGGCCTAGCCTGCCATCAGGGCCATGTCCGCCACCCTGCGACGCCTTGCACACTCCACTGATGCTGCCAGTGCCTGAACGGGGCGGGGTGGGGGGAGGGCTCAAGAGGTGCTCCATGCACCTCCTGGTGACCAGCTGTTTGGTCATTACAGCGTTATGGCCATGGGCCTTTTATAATATAGATTATTATTTGGATGGCTGTTCAGCTAGTGAGTTCCAAGGTCGGAAGGGGGCAGGCACTTCGGATTGGAGTAGTTGGGAAAGGCTTTCTGGAGGACATGAGACTTGAGCTGGACTTTGGAGGCAGAGATGAGAGGAAAGGCATTAGAAAAGTTGGGGTGAAGAAGTGTTTTTAAAAGACCTGGGCATGGCGTGTTCATGGTACACGTGCGGCAGCATGCAGATGGGGCGTTGAGGACACTAGTTCTCGTGTGGATTATCAGTGGAGATCCTCCGTGTGGTAGGCATTTTGAAGAGAGACAGTCCGGGTTTCTCGTTACAAGCAACGTTTCCTTGGGCAAGTCAGTTACCTGGCTTTGGGTCTTAATAGGAGTTTGTTTGGGAAAAGTAGGCTTTTATTGTGAACATTTAAGACCACACACAGTAAGTGCAAACTTTGCAGCACACCGCCTGGCACATAACTACTTACTAAATGTGGCAACTGCTGTGCCATTCATTTATTCACTCAATAGATGCCAGCGAATGGTTACTAAATGCCATCACTGAGTTGGAAACTGGGGATTCAGTGATGAAAAAGATGACCATTCCCAGCCTTCGTAGAGTTCACAATCTAGTGGAGAAGATGGATAATTCAACAATTAAAGACGTGGGATGAGGACTAGGAGACACGGGGCAGACTGGTAGGGGGTTCCACAGCGTGGGTGGAAAAGGCTATATCCTAGGCAGGGAGTCTGGCAAGATTTCCCAGAGAAAGCTGTGGGTAAGTTAGGTACTTATGTCAATTTCTGTTTGAGATATGGATTGCATGAATTTTCAAAAATTTAATCTCTGTATTGTTCAAGTTAACTCAAATTAGAATTCCCTCATGCTGATTCACACATCTCTTCCCTTTTTGTTTTTTTAACCGAGAGCATAAATGTTTTTATGCAATGATAAAGCAGGTAATTCATTCGCATGTGAGAATTAGTAATGGAAGAGGCAAGTTTACTAGGAAGTTTTACATAAATAAGGAAATTTATTCATGTTTGAACTAGATTGTTACTAAACTAAGTTATTAGCAATTTAGAACTGCTTCGCCAGCTGCTTAAATAGTATTTTTTTTCTTTAAATCAAACTCCTGGAAGAGGGGTATTTTATAAGTAAGCAAGGACATCATCCCTTGAATTTGTCTGTAATTACAAAGGTCCTGACACAAACCCTGGAAGGCCTTGAATTTAGTGGCTTCCCCTGGAAATAGAGTTAAGTCCCATGGGTAACATAATTTGGAACAAGGATGCTGTGATCTTATATACTCAGGGGGTTCCCTGAGGAAAATTTAACAAATCACACACTTATACTTAAGAAACTAAATACATTTCTTGAAATGCCAAATTTCATTTGGGTTTTTCCCAATTGTTAATACATTTAACTAGATGTAAAGCTGGTATATTAAAAAAAAAAGAACAGGTCTAAAAGAAAAAGAGAAATTTTACGTTTTGAGAAAGATTCCCAAAACAAGCAGCTGATTAAAACAGATTTTTTTTTAATCTAAAAATTTCAGGAAGATTGTTTTTCCAAATTAACACCTTCATTCTTACTTTTTTATTTTTCCCCTTCAACCTCCCACAAGTCATTTCTCTCTCCATGTTCTTGAAGTGTAGTACTCCCAAAGGTTTTAACTCCTTTGTTAAAGATTTTAGAGTGTTTAAAATTTTTTCATAAAATCCTATTTGAAAATGAGATGAATACTTATGTTCTCTTAACTCAGTATTATTCAGAAGGGTCAGAATGGGCAGGGATGGGAGAGCCAGCAGCATTAAGGTGGTGATGATTGCTGAGCACTCCTCAGGCCGTTTCTCCCTAAATACATTTCACCTTCTGGATTGAAACCGTGTCACCTTCTGGACTGAAACCAGTTTATAATTGCCCAATAGTTTGGAAGTTGTTTTCAGAGGGTTTTGAACTTCGAGTTCTCTGCTGGGGACACCAAGAAATCAAAAGGGAACAAGTAGAAGGGCAGGAGTAACATGACCTCTTAGGTCGTCTGTCTAGATGAAGTACATGAAATTGGACGATTACCCTGACAGAGTTCAGGTTACCAGAATAGAAACCTATTTGTTCTTAAGTGAGCTGGGCCAACTCTGTACTTTCTGGTAAAAATTTATTGATGATACTAAAGAGGGCTCTCTCTCTCTCTTTATCTCTCTCTCCCTCCCCCCCCCCCCCAAGGAAAATGTTGGTGAAGGTGCACCAAGTCTTTTCTTTTTCTTTTTGATTACTCCTCACCTGAGGATATTTTTCCATTGCTCTTTAGTGAGAGAATGGAAGGGAGGGAGAAGGGGAGGAGAGAGAGAAACATCCATGTGAGAGACACACATAAACGTCCCCTCCCGCATGCGCCCTGACCAGGGACAGAGATCAGACCTGCAACTGAGATACATGGCCTTCACCGGAAATCGAACCCATGACCCTTTGGTCCGCAGGCCAATGCTCTAACCAGTGAGTAAAACTGGCCAGAGCCACCAAGTCTTTTCTGTCCATTTAACACACATTTGAAAGACTTGTAGGTTTGGGGAAGGGCTATAATTTTGGTCTTAAAACCTCTGAAGTAAATTTCAAAGCTAAAATGTAAAACATTTTTGACTTTGTGCCTTGTTCACATAGTTATTTTGCTGAAAATATGCCCTGCCTATTCTAGGCTTAAAAAGCAAAGATGTCCATCTGTCTGCCACTGAGAGTGGGGAACAGTTTTAATCTGATTATGGGGTTGACTTTGGTATATGTCGTAGCAGTGATGATGTGTCACTAATGATATAGCAGCATTTTGCTGTTTTGCATGTCAAAGTCCTAGGTACAATGCCCTTATCCCCGGTGACTGATAAGGGCATTTTACTGATACTTGAGTAATAGAATATTGAACAGTTTCTTTTGAAGCCGTCTGCAGTTACTGCTTTCAGGGGAAGGGAACTAAATAATCCTGTAGTTTAATAATAATGTTGATAAATGTGTGTGTCCTCTTTCTTAAGAAATCATTTTCACCTTCTTGGATTTGACTCATTTTGCTTCTCTTTGATGTCTGGCAAATGGGAGCAAGTAAAAGCTCACCCCTTATTTGTATGTTGCTTTTGCATGATTAGTAGAAACACAGAATTGTACTTTGTGGGAAACTGGAATGCCACTTTCTTAACTGTGGTCTTTTTGTGTGTGTGTTTTTGTGCAGCTAGCACCCTCTCTTCCTTTACAAGAAGATTTCGTTTATCACTGGAAGGCAATTACCCATTACTACATAGAGACTTCGGGTAAGAAACAATGCTAATGTAATTACACAGAAAAATGTGGAATACGAAAATGTATTTCAGATTCGTCTTCAGTTATATTTAAATTTGTAAGCAATTTACTTTTAATTCCTCTTTTAGAGTCATTAAAAAAAACACACCTAGTGAGCACCTACGCTGTGTAGGCACTTTTCCAGGCACTGGGGGATAGAACCATCAAAAAAAACAAAATCCATAACAAAATTAATACATTGATTGGGGAGAAGCAAATAAGTAGACAGATACATACAGTGGGTCAGATGGAAAGTGTTAAAGAGAACATGAAGCAGGCTGAGGAAATAGAAGTGTGTGCTGGGGGTGGGAAGATGGCCTTTGTAGGTCAGAGAAAGCCTCATTGCCCCAGGCCAGGTCTGAACTGAAGTCTGAGGGAGAGAGGAAGCAAGTCCGGGGTGGAGGGGTAGGGGAGTGGGGAGGGGAAGAGAAATTGCAGGAAAAGGAGGAGTGCATAGACCCTGAGGCTGGAACAGGCAGCCTGCGCTTGCGTAGACAATTCCTGGAACTATGGGGAAGCCAGTGTGGCTAGAGTGAACAGGGAGAAATTGGTAGGAGATAAAGTCAAAGCTGGAGGGTGGGGATTCACATAAGACCTTGTAAGCCATCCCCAGGGCTTTGGCTTGTACTCTCAGGTGGGCAGCCAGAAGAGGGTTTTGGGCAGAGGTGACCGGGTCACTTTGGCTTCTATGAAAATTTAGATTGAAGGGATGTGGAGGTGATGCTGCCGGGAGAACAGTTAGGGGACTATTGCAGTGCTTTGAGAGGTGGTGGCTTAGACCAGGGGGGAAGGTGATCAGAAGTGGTCGTATTCTGGGTATGTTTTGAAGAATTGGATATTGGGCATGAGAGAATAAAAGGCAAGGCTATCTCCAAAGTTTTGGTGTTAAGCAGTGAAACTGGAAAAATAGAGAATGAGGAGACTGCAGGAGGAGCAGGTTTGAAAGAGAATTTTCAATATATTGAGTTTGAGATGCTCATGATCTATCTAGTTCAGTGGTTCTCAACCTTCCTAATGCCGCGACCCTTTAATACAGTTCTTCATGTGGTGACTCCCAATTTCATTGTGACAAATTGACCATAATTAAAGCATAGTGATTAATCACAAAAACAATATGTAATTGTATATGTGTTTTCCGATAGTCATAGGCGATCCCTGTGATAGGGTCGTTCGACCCCTAAAGGGATTGCGACCCACGGGTTGAGAACCGCTGATCTAGATGGATGTGTCATGTAGACAATTGGAAATAGGCATTCAGGGTAGAGATCTAACGAAATGAGGGATATGAAATTGAGAGTCCTGAGACTAGATGAGCTTATCTAGGGAGTAAGGATAGATGGGAGAGAGAAGGTGTTCAGGAACTGAGCCCTTGGACTCGATGTCTAGGGATTAGGAAGATGAGAACAATAGCGAAACCAAGAGAGACTGGAACCCCGGAGTTAGGTAGGTTGCTCTACTGGGGAATGTTGGCGTAAAGGGAGCTGAGAAATGGAGCAGCAGCTGGAGGGAGGTGTAGTGTCAAAAGAGGCAAGGAGACTTTAAGGTAGAAAGTATGCAATTTATAATTTAATGGGAATGACCTAGTAGGGAGGGAAAGGTGAGTAGAGTAGTCAGATGAGATCATTTCTGAGCAATGTCCCTGAGTGGGCAAGGGGCAGGGGGGAGGGGGAGGATGGGACCTAGTGCACAAGCAGAGGCTTAGCGCTCAATAGGTTGTGGACAGTTTCTCCATAAAAAATAAGGTAGAAAGCAGAACATCTGGGTTTAAGTGCAGGAAGCGGGCAGACCTGATGTAGGGAGTCTTCAGAAGTTACCTTCTGGTTTCCGTTTTTCTCAGTGAGTATGTAGGATGCAGAGTGAATGTGGCGGAACATGAACAGTTAGTCAAGGCTGGGCAAACTTTCCCTGTGAAGGGCCAGAGGTAGGCCATGTGGTCTCTTTGTAACTGCTCAGTTCTGTGGTAATGCAAATTGGCCATTGATAATGTGTAAAAGAATATACAGCCCCTTGTTCTAATACAATTTTATTTATCAAAATAGATGGCAAGGCTGGATTTGCCCTGCGGGTAAAGTTTGGCAACTTCTGAAGTAGGGAATAGGGAAGTACAGTAGCATTGCTACATGGCATGTGGGCTCCCTTGAGGAATGATAGGTAAACACTAGTAGATATGCAGATTGGGCACATGTCATTTCACTGAAAGGAAACATGAAAAAATGGTAGTTGATTTGGCAAGTCGATAGGGTTATGGGGGATGTGTCTTAAAGGAAAAAAACTCCTTTATATTTGTGCAATGAATAAACATCAGACTATACACAGGGTGAGGCAAAAGTAGGTTTACAGTTGTGAGTCCATGAAACAACAGTTTATTCTTGTATTTATTTTATTTTCCATACAAACAACTGTACACCTACTTTTGCCCCACTCTATATTCTGTAAGTTAGTTTTTATGCATAATAATGTAGAAATAAGAGCCATTTGGGGAAAAATGGGAACATGATCAGGAAAAATGCATGTAAACATAAAAACTTTGTATTGTACTTGTAATTAAATTTTTTTTTCAATTAGTCAGTTAGATGGTCTGAATTTTAAGTATATTTATATAGAAACAGGTTGGCCTTGAAATTAAGCTTACTAACCTAGAAAACAGAGAGAGGACAGGTTCTGTTTTGATTGCCACTGAGTTACTTCTTAGCATTGGGAAGTCATCTCCATCTATGAAAACACAAGGAGACCAAAGAAGCCCTTTTAACAATTTCTGACATTCTTGTTATTAACAGACAGCTATTCCCAAAGTCAAAGGGATAGAAACATCAGTGATGAGAAAGAATCATCGATAGGCTGCCTCCTGCTTATTCCCAACTGGGGATGGAGCCCGTAATCCAGGCATGTGCCCTGACCAGGAATCGAACCTTGACCTCCTGGTTTATGAGTCAACGCTCAACCATTGAGCCACATTGGCCAGGCTGATTCAGTTTTCTAATAAGAGGGCAAAAGCGCCCAGCTTGTGTGGCTTAGTTGGTTCTAGTGTTATCTTGTACACCAACAGGTTGTGGGTTTGATTCCCAGTCAGGGCATGTGCCCAGAATTTGGTTCCATCCTCAGCATGCAGGAGGCAAACCGATCGATGTTTCTCTTTCACATCAATGTTTCTCTCTCTCTTTCTAAAAATCAATTTTAAAAAAATGGTTAAAGCATCATCTAAATTCTGTCAAAGATAATTATACTATGAGTATAAACCTCATTTAAGTGTGTAGTTCAGATTTTTCTAGTTTAAAATATGCAGTTTAATATTCAATAAAGTATTAGGTTTAAATATGCAGTTTAAAAATGTTGGGTTGTTTGACGAACTTTTTTTATCATTTAGATGACAAAGCCCCAGTGACAGATACAAATATTCCATCTCATCTGGAACAGATGTTAGATATATTGGTACAAGAAGAAAAGGAACGGGAATCTGGAGAGACGGGGCCATGTATGGAATACTTGCTTCATCAC